TCTCTTCCTCCTGCCCTTGATCCTCATTGCCTAATCCAGCCAGAACCTGAGGGTGAGTGTCCCAGTGAAGGGTTGGTATAGTTCATCTAGGTGGTTGCTGGGGCACACAGCAGGATAGACAGTGGTTCTCAAGAACGGGTGGAAGATTCTAGCACTGTACTAGTTTCTTGTGGCTGCTGTAACATGACCACAAGCTGGGAGGCTTGAAACAACAGAAACTTATTCTGTCACAGTTCTGGAGGCCAGAAGTCCAAAACCAGGATGCCCTGTTCCCTCGGGAGGCTCTAAGGGAGGACTGTTCCTTGCTGCTTCCCTCTTTTGTGTGCTGGCGTCCCAGGCTTGTGACCACATCGTGCTGCCCCCATCTTCACATGGCTCTCTCTTGAGTGAATAAATAGATGAACAAGAAAACACAGAGGGATACAGTGTAAATACAGTGAAGCCAGAGGTGTACTCTGTGAATATATGAGACACCCTTGAATGGAATGCTTCCACTAGATGGATTGTAGGAGGTGTAAATTGTATCTCAATCAAGCAGGGCTTCCAGGGATGCCCACCACTGAGGGTCTAGCTCCATGTCACATTGGTGGGGCTGGGGGAAGTTTAGAAAAGGCTCTGACATTGCTAAGGCTTCAGTTAGGGTATAGTTTGCAGCTGAAATTTGGGTAGGAGGGCGTTCCAGGCTAAATAGCCAGTGTGAGCAGAGTCTTGGAGGGAAGAGCATTTTATCTTTCTGGACCTAATGCTTGTTTAACAAAATATGTGCTCTTGGCTGGGCGCAGTGGCTCACAGCTGTAATCCCAGCACTTTGGGAGGCTGAGGTGAGAGGATCACTTGAGCTCAGAAGGTCAAGGCTGCAGTGAGCCATGATTGCACCACTGCATTCCAGCCTGAGCAATGGAACAAGACCCTGTCTCAAAAAATTAAAAATTACAATAAAGTTTTCTTGTTAAATAAAATGTGATCTCTTTACTTTGCACAAATACTATGCCTTCTGAGAATGCTGTAGATGCGGCCATATTTTGTTTTTATCCTAACACAGCCCAGATTCCAAGTACACACTGGATTTTGAGCATTTAAAGGACTTCCGGTGCTTTTAAGGATTCCCATTTATTCGTTTAAGTTTGCCAACCTAATTCAGTCATGTCACGTACTTAGTTTTTATAAGGATTGTATTATAGTGCGAAGGGGTGAAAAAGAACTGCTATGAGCATCTTTTCATGAAGAAGATTTAGCTTGGAAATGTGGGCATATTTGTCTACCTTTGTGTTTAGGAAGGCACAATTATAATTACAGATGAAGAAGCTAGACTCTGGCCAGCTGGAATCAGAATTTCACATTGTAGAAGTGTCTGGTCTGGAAAGCATCCACCAGAAACCGACACCCTTGACCCAGCACTGGCCACAGAGCTGCAGGCGGTCTCCCGTCCCTGCCTCTGCCCCTGGGGCCTCTCCTTTGCAGCCATGGCATGTGCAGAGGGGAGTGTAGATCTCTTTTCTTTCTTGTTGACTTTATTTTCTACCACACTACCCCAACCCAAATAAATAATGACATGTGCATTTGAGATAGTGTGTGGTATTCTTTTTTTTTTTTGAGATGGAGTCTTACTCTGTTGCCCAGGCTGAAGTGCAGTGGTGCAATCTTGGCTCACTGCAACCTCGGCCTCCCAGATTCAAGCGATTCTCATGTGAGCCTCCCCAGTAGCTGGGATTATAGGCACCTGCCACCACATCTGGCTAATTTTTTTTGTATTTGTAGTAGAGGCAGGGTTTCATTGTTTTGGCTAGGCTGGTCTCAGACTCCTCACCTCGAGTGATCTGCCCGCCTCGGCCTCCCAAAGTGCAGGGATTACAGGTGTTAGCCACCACGCCCAGCCAAACTGTGTGTTCTGAGTGAGCTACATATATTAATGTAAGCATCCCAAGAGAGAGACCTCCACATTTCTGCCTGGATAAGTATACATGATACTTTTTTAACTAAAAAAAACCCTTTTACTACAAAGTTATGTGTGCTTGCTATAATGAATCGAGCATTGTGATAGTTAAAAGTAGAAAGCGGAAAGTAGAAAAAAATCACACCACTCAGGGGCTGCTGCTGTTACCCTGGGGTGAGCATGCTTCCAGGGAGCCCTCTGCCCTCATGCACAGATAGGTGACAGAAATAAGTTGTTACAAGCCGAATCCTACAAATGCTGCTATTGGGCGTCTCATTTTTCTTTTCTTATGAGAAGTGGAAACTGAAGTGAAACTGAGTAAATTTATAAGAATGTTTCTTTACCACAGAGAGATTATTTCCTGAAAAGACTTTTCTATGGTTAAGAAAAAAGATCATGAGAACAATCAAGAGGTTGGCAGCACTGTTTTCAATTTCGGGTATCTGTTGGTGCCTACCATGATGACAAAGACAGTGGCAACTTAAATTTGTGTTTGTTGGTTTAGTCTGTTGGTTCCTAAAATACCTCTCTAAGCATTCTCAGATTTACTGTACGGATTTGGTCACAGACATTGAGGCTGGAATCAGTCTCAGAGGGGTGGAGAGTCGGGCGTATGTGACCAGAGTGGCTGCCACCTGGGCCTTGCTGAGTGGTGTGTGCTGTGCCCGTGGAGGCCTCCCAGGCCTATCCTGGCCAGCTTGCCTTTGCTTTGCAAATGAACAAGGCTGGTGTTTCTCCTCCCCTTTTATTACCAACTGGAACAACGGAAAGATTGAAGAAAGAGTTTCTACATTGAATGCAGCATCTAGGGTGTGTTCTGGGCAGGTTATGAGTGCTGAAGGCTTTTAGCCAATGCTTAAGAAAAGGCATCCACCTTCAGCACCTGCATCCAGGCCATTGTCCCCACTGCCGGTGTTCTTCAGGGTGCTGTGGGTATGCTCTGGGTGGCCACTTAGAATTTACTGTATTTGTCTGGGCGTGGTGGCTCATGCTTATAATCCCAGCACTTTGGGAGGCTGAGGTGAGCGGATCACTTGAGGTCAGGAGATCAAGACCAGCCTGGCCAATGTGGGCAAATCCTTGTCTCTACTAAAAAAACAAAACAAAAAAATTAGCCAGGCAGGGTACACGCCCGTAATCCCTGCTACTGGGGAGGCTGAGGCACAAGAATCGCTTGAACCCAGGAGGCAGAGGCTGCGGTGAGCTAAGATCGCGCCACTGCACTCCAGCCTGGGTGACAGAGTGAGACTTGTCTCAAAAAATAATAATAATAATAATAATTTATCGTATTTATATATAGAAACATCTGAATATCCAAAGGATATTAAAAAATCACTGCCAGTTTAACACTTCTCAGTGGGAGTTTGTTTGTTTTAAAGATGGGGTTTCACCATGTTGGTCAGGCTGGTCTTGAACTCCCAACCTCAGCTGATCCGCCTGCCTTGGCCTCCAAAGTGCTTGGATTACAGGTGTGAGCCACCACACCTGGCCGGGAGTTTTTTTTTGTTTTTGTTTTTGAGATGGAGTTTTGTTCTTGTTGCCCAGGGTGGATGGTGTGATATCGCCGTCTCGGCTCACTGTGGTCTCAGCTCACTGCAACCTCTGCCTCCCAGGTTCAAGCAATTCTCCTGTCTCAGCCTCCTGAGTAGCTGGGATTTTACAGGCATGTGCCACCATGCCTGGCTAATTTTGTTTTTTTAGTAGAGACACGGTTTCTCCATGTTGATCTGGCTGGACTCGAACTCCCTACCTCAAATGATCTGCACGCCTCAGCCTCCCAAAGTGCTGGGATTACAGGTGTGAGTCACTGCACCCAGCCTCAGTGTTTTATTTGGCCTCTTGATGCCTAGTGGCTTTCTGCATCCCATACAAAACAAATTGCCTTTTTTCCCCCAGAACACAGAAATGTGGACAAATGAGTTGTCTTTTTATTATAGTTCATGTTTCCTCTCTTCTAGGACTTTCTAATATATAGGACAAATGATTTTGACTTGACTTAAACCCTACAGAAATAAGATTTTCTTTGTAGATGCATTTTTATGAAACTAAAGCAAAAGTTTTCAGCTTAGTGGTATCACCAGGGAGTTTTGACGACAATATCCATACCTCGGCCCCCTCCTGAAGAGCTTGATGGGTAGGGGTTGGTCTGGGCATTGAGTTTTTTGTTTTGTTTGTTTGTTTTTTTTGAGACAGAGTCTTGCTCTGTCACCCAGGTAGGAGTGCAGTGTCGTGATCTCGGCTCACTGCAACCTCTGCCTCCCGGGTTCAAGCGATTCTCCTGCCTCAGCCTCCCAAGTAGCTGGGACTACAGTTGCACACCATCACACCTGGCTAATATTTGTATTTTTGGTAGCGATGCGATTTCATCATGTTGGTCAGGCTGGTCTCAATCTCCTGACCTCGTGATCTGCCCGCCTTGCCTCTCAAAGTGCTGGGATTACAGATGTCAGTCACTGCACCCAGCCTGGGCATTGAGATTTTTAACAGCAGCCCCCATACTCCCCAATAAATGGGGTGGCAAGGCACAGCCAAGGCTGGGAATACTTTTTAGTAGTCCAGGCTGCCTGCTGGAATGTCGGTGCTGCCTTGAGTGCGCCTTTCTAGTGGTTGTGGGAGACCTGCACTTGCTGTGTGCTACCTTGACTGAGGACTTCTGAGGAAATTCTGTTTCAAAATTACCGTGAGGTCCAGTGTGAGACCCTCACTCAGACTCAGTCTCTAGTGACTTTCTGAAGTGAGTGCCTCTACTTCACAAAGGATCTGAGGCACTCAGCGCTCAACAAATGTAGCTCATTTTTAATTCCTCCAGTTTGTTACCTCCCTTATTTGCCAGGCTTGGCTTTGAGTGAGTTTTGGCTTTTTAGGGTTGGGGGGTGCTCTCTGATTCATTGAACAGATCTTCACTGAGTTGCAGATGTGTGCAAAGTGCTTGGGATGCTAAAGACGACAAGTGTGTCCTCTGTATTCAGTGTTGGGAGACAGTGATTGAGACAGCAGAGTTTTATTTATTTATTTATTTATTTATTTATTTATTTATTTTGAGACTGAAGTTTGCTCTTTTTACCCAGGCTGGAGTGCAATGGCACGATCTTGGCTCACTGCAACCTCCGCCTCCTGGGTTCAGGCAATTCTCCCGTCTCAGCCTCCTGAGTAGCTGGGACTACAGGCATACACCACCATGCCCAGCTAATTTTTTGTATTTTTAGTAGAGATGGGGTTTCACCATGTTGACCAGGATGGTCTCGATCTCTTGACCTCATGATCCACCCGCCTCGGCCTCCCAAAGTTCTGGGATTACAGGCGTGAGCCACTGCGCCCGGCCCTGACAACAGAGTTTTAATCCTCACTGTTGACAGTTACGATGCCATGGAAGACGTGGGCGCTGACAGAGGATGGCTGCTGGTGTAGGCAGGGTGGTCAGGGACATGCTTTCTCAGAACTGACTGGGAAGGGACGGCGGGACCAGGCCATTTGGGGCCTCACAGATCAGGGCTGATGAGTTTGGGTCCATTTATGCCGATTCAGCCTATTTGAGGGTGGGAGCACTCCTGTTTCTCAGAATTCCCTGTGCCTAAACCTGGGCATGGCAGATGATACTTGCTTAGTAAACGTGTACGGAACAAAGAATTGATTGAAGTAAGAGTGCTGGAGCGCACAGAGCTGTGGGGCCTGAGTGCAACCTGGAACACGTGCCCCTCCTCATCCGTCAGGTGAGACAAGCAGGAGAAAGCCAGCTCAGCAGTGGCTGGTGGTTGTATTTATGGTTAACTTATTTTGAGATGCTGGTAGTTTCACATGCAGTTGTAAGAGATAATACAGAGAGATCCTGTGTCCCCTCCTCCCAGCTGCCCCCAGCGGTGACATCTGGTGAAATTCAGTGCACTCTCAGCACCAGGCTCAGGGCACTGATACTGCCAGGACACAACGCCAGGACGGCTCAGTCCCTAACCCTTCGTTGCCCTTTTATAGTCACACACACACCGCTAATCTGCTCTCCATTTTTGTGATTTTGTATTTGAAGGGTGCTGTGTACACGGTCGTGGGCAGATGGCCCTTTGGGGTTGGCTGTTTTCGCTCAGTGTGAATCCCTGGAGCGTTATCAGTTCCGCCAGTCAAGTTTGTTCCTTTTACTGCTGATTGGTGTTTCGTGGCTTGGCTGGCCCATTGCTTGTTTAAACATTCACCTGTTGAAAGCCCCCTGGGCTGCATCTAGATTTTAGTTGTTAGGAATAAATGTTGCTCTCAACAGTCATGTGCAGGTTTTTGTTGAACATAAGTTTTCATTCGTCTGGGATAAAATGCCCAAGAACACAATTTCTGGGTCATAGGGTAGTTACAGATTCAGCCTCATTAAAAAGTGCCTGTTTTCCAGAGTGGCCATACAGTGCTTTTTGTTTGTTCTTTTAAATGGCTTGACAATGGAAGGAAAGACGCTTCTGCAGGTCCTGACATAGAAAGCCCATGGAGAGCTGCCCTGTGGGTGGGGAAGCGGGTGACAGGAGCCCCACTGCTTCCCAGGAACCCCGGTGAAACTGGGTCTTTCCAGTCCCAAGCGTCTCCTTTTTTGCTAAAGGCATCAGAAGAGATGAAAGCATTCTACCACCCACGTTTCAGGGACACTGTTGGCTCTTACTTTATAGTCTGGAGAGAGGTTTTTCACTGTCATGTAAATCCTGTCAGTTTTCAACAGAGCCTGATCTTTAGGGTCCTGTGCGAAGCTGTCGGTCTGGAGATGCAGAAATGAAAGGAGCCTCCTACTGGGGTTAGGGATCTCCTCATTGAGGCAGGGATCCAACGGCTTCTTTGTTCTCTGATTCCCTGAGCCTCTTTCCTGTGTGTGTGGTGCGTGTGCACTTCTGTGAGCGCACTGGGAACTATGACAGCAATAAGTGGGTATGACTGGGGGTGGGGAGCGGAGGCAGCATGGCCAGGAATTTATACTTGAGCTACCAAGAGGAAGGAAGTAGCAGCAAAAATAGATTGGGTGGGGTGGTAGAAAATATTAAGGGGAAAAATGAGATGCCTGGGGTGGGGTTGAAGAAGAGCGGCTTAAAGAGAAACGGGGACACACACTGGGTAAGGAATCAAGTGCTGTTGAAACAGTGTGGAAGGCGGCGGCAGCGGCGGCTGAGCTGTGGTAGCGGAAGCCGATCACGAGTGAGTGGAAAGGGAACTAGGGTACTGATGCGTTTGTGGTTTTAATTTTCTTTAAATATACTCTGGCTAAGTTTTGCTAGGAGTTTTTTGCCTTTTTTCTCAGACCCTCCACTTCTTTCTTTCTCCCCTAAGTTCTGGGCAGATGGATTCTTTTCTACCTACCAGTGTAGCCTGTCATTGTTTGAAAGGACAAAATGAAACCCCCGCTGGGCAAAACACGTCTCCACTTCCCCCAGCTTTTGGTCGGCTTTGCTCATCCACCAATAGCTAGATGATAGAAGGCTCCGAAGAGCTGGGATGGGCATGGGGGAGAGAACCAGCGTGGCTGGAAACAGTTAATTTCCAGGGTCTCCTCGTCTTGCTGGTTGGACCTCTAAGCCAGCTATGAAGCCTGCATTGCCATCATGCCAACTGGTCTCCTGCTGATAAAAGTGATTCTTTAACTTCCTCTGGAGCAGCAGAAACTTGTTTTGAAAAAAATCGAATTCTAAATTGTGACAGCTGTTTATTTCTGCAAGCACAATGGCCGTAGTAAGGAACTGGAATCACAGTGCAGCCCTGGCAGGGAGGGCTCTGCATGGAGTCACAGGACAAAGCGTGTCCTGGAAACGTGCTGGAAGGAAGTCAGCCTCACTCTTTACTATTGGTAGCAGCATCCAAGTGAGAAACCAGGGGGCTTGGCTCTGGGTCTGTAGCATCTGCCTGGTATGCGGTGCCAGCCGTGGAGACCAGTGAGGTGGCAGCAGATGCAGTGGGCTCCCGGGATGTGCGTGGGGACCTCCGGGGTCTGCCTGGGAACTGATAGACTTTCGTTTCTCATCATCTCATGTGTTCCTTGCAGACACAGAATGTTCAGCTTAACAAAGAAATGACACTTGCCAGCAACCGGAGCCTGGCAGAAGGAAACCTTCTGTACCAGCCCCAGCTGGACACGTTGAAAGCACACTTGACCCAGAAATACCAGGAACTCCAGGTTCTCTTTGAAGCCTATCAGATAAAGAAGACCAAATTAGGTAACTTTTTATGGGTGATCATTCAAGAATAAAGAGTTGAGAGAAGGACACATTTGCAAGCTATTGCCCTGCCAGGAGAGAAACATTATGGAAAAATTTCAGATTAAGACAGTGACTCCACTGCAATGAAGGAGAGTCATTGAAATATGTATATTATTTTTGTATTTTAGAAACAGGGTCTTGCTCTGTCACTGAGGCTGGAGTGCAGTGGCACGACCATGGCTCACTGCAGCCGCTTGACCTCCTGGGCTTAGGTGATCATCCTGCCTCAGCCTCCTGAGTAGCTGGGACCACAGGTGTGCATTGCCCCAAGCCAGCTACTTTATTTCATTTTTTTGTAGAGAGGTCATCTTGCTGTGTTGCCCAGGCTGGTCTTGAACTCAAGAAGCCATCCTCCCACCTTGGCCTCACAAAGCGCTGCTCTTGTAGACGTGAGCCACTGTATTGACCAGTTTATGTATAGAATATGGAAGCCCCAGACCTGCAGCCTCTCTGCACTTGCAGTTCTGGAGGACGGGGTGCATAGCAGGACTGCCCCCTCCCAGTGGCCCTGCAGTGGCAGTGGTTGCTGAGGTCAGCCCAGGTCTATGCACACCTCCAGGGTCTGCAGCATGGAGCAGGTGGTAGCAACATGGGCACCTCGGGGCAGTTACTGGAAAAGGGGTGAGGGATTAGGAGGAAGCCAGCCAGTTCAGCAGTCACCAGTTTAGAAGAGGAGACTTAACCACTCTTAAATTCAAGACTTCACCTTCTCTAAACAGCACAGAAAGAAGGCAGTTTTCTGAATTATGATATTCAACAAATCTCTTCTGCTGTTTGCCCATTTGTCTTATGCTGTTTGTTAATAGTGAAAAATGCCCATCACTGGAACACTTTATTTTAATGGCACACTTTAATTTACACCCACTAGGAGGAGACATCAGAACTGAATTGTTGAGCATCCTGAGTGCTTTTGATAGCTATCAAAGGGACATTTAGATAAAGGGAAGTTGGAGCTGGGTGTGGTGGCGCACGCCTGTGGTCCTAGCTTCTTGGGAGGCTGAGGAGGGAGGATTGCTTGAGCCTTGGAGGTTGAAGCTGCAGTGAGCCATGATTGCACCTCTGTACTCCAGCCTGGGTGGCAGAGCGAGACTATGTCTCTACAAAGAAATGAAATAAATTAGCCAGGAGTAGTGCTACTCGTCTATAGTCCCACCTACCCTGAAGGTTGAGGCCACCATGAGCTGTGATTGCATCACTGTACTTTAGCCTGGGTGACAGAGTGAGACCCCATCCCTTTAAAAAAAAAAGAAAAAAAAGAATTTGGGTGAAAAAAAATCACCTTCTGCAGCAGTGATGTCTGTCACGATTGCTATCATCTTGTCATTTTCTCCATTAACTTTATTAAAAATTTACTGCCACATACTCAGACCAGGATGACCTAAAGTAAAAAGACCAGCAGTCACAAGTGCTGGTGAGGTGCCATGCGTCCGCTGCTGGTAGGAGTGTCCGTGGGTCATTTGGGACTTACAGGCACATGCCACTACAGCCGGCTCCTTTTTCATTTCACCTGGAGAAAGTCGTGGGGTAGTACCTTCTAAAATGAGGAGCCTGCATACACTGCAGTTCAGCGGCTCTGCTCCTGAGTGATCACCCAGAAGCAATGAGACATTCATGTCTCTCAGAAGATAGGTACAAGAATGTTGTATCTTTATTACCTTACTTAAAATTTGGAAACAATCAAAATGTCCATCTACAGAGTGATGGGCAAATAAAGTATATTTATACAATGGAACACTACACAGCATTGAACAGACATGAACTGAGGCATAGACCAGAGCAGGGTCTCAGAGACGCAGTGCTGAGTGGAAGGATCCAGCAGAGTATGTCCTGTACTGCCTGATTGCAGGATGTCAGTTAAAGACCAGGCAGAGCTCCTGTGTGGTAGTGGAGGCCAGCATAGGGGTTACCTGGTGGGTGCAGTGGGCATGAGGGTGCCGGGTGGAAACGTTCTGTGTCTGGATCAGGGTGGTGGTGGTTGGGGGTTAAACACATGGAAATTTTAGTTACACACTTAAGATGTGTACACTCGATGTAAGTTATCACTCAAAATGTAAAGGAATTACAAAGTGGCATGATGGCCCTGTCACTGCTCCATATTCGAAAGCAGCTGGCTCTGGGCAGCTGCTGACCCGGGGTGCTCCGACATGGGATGTTGGCCCCAGACACTGGCTCAGTGCACTTGTTCCCTTGTAGGTTCTCAGGTATCAGCTTCCTGGAAAGGAAGATGCAGTCCTACTGTGGTCTGTGTGGGCGGCGTTGTGAAGGGCTTTGCCTGGATGCCCCTTACTCTTTCATGCCTCTTGCTTCTCTTCCAGACAGACAGTCTAGCAGTGCTTCCTTGGAGACCCTGTTAGCACTTCTTCAAGCAGAAGGGGCCAAGATTGAGGAAGACACCGAGGTAAAGCCAGCCAGCCTCGATGGAATCCTTGAGTCACTTTGGGCAGTCAGCGGGCCCACTGTCTCCAGAGACCAGGAGTGCTGCACCGCCACAGTCAGGAGGTGGTGCCTCCTAGGTGTGCGGGCTGCATGCCAGTGGGAAGCCTAGCATGTGGGCTGGGGAAAGTGCCAGGCAGGGGTCCAGGGAGCAGCAGAGGGAGTGAGGGCAGGGCTGAGGGAGGGCCAAAAGAGGGCATGCGTGCCATCCTGTGAACCCCAGCCCCTGGGGCCAGTGACAAAGTACCACGTGCCGTGGTTCCTGGGTGAGCTGGGGGCTACAGAGCCTCTGGGACAGGTCCAGCTGTGCACTAGAGCCTTGAGCCCCGCCAGGTGATAATGAAACAAGTCAAGGTCAAATGTTGCGCAGTTGTTGCAGGCTGGGCCGGCAGGATCTTGCCAAGATAGGGCTGGGTTGATGAACTGGGAGGCCATGCGGGGGCCTGGCGGGCACAGGCGTTTCTGTCCTGCTGACCCACCCAGGGCGAGTCTGTCAGGCAGGCTGCGGCTGGGTAAAGGCAAAGGGATGTTGGACTCCAGCAGGCTCGACAGAGGCCTGGGACTCAGGAGTTGGGACCCTTGCCCAAAGGCCAGCTCCTCCTGGGCCTCTGCCTGTCGCCCTGGTGGTGGTATGCACAGCAGGACTGCCCTCCCCTCCACCTGGTGGCAGCTCATGCTGAGGTCAGCCTGCGCCCGTGACCTCTGGATCTGGAGTGGGAATGGGGCCCTCTGGTGGTTAGAGGGAGGGGCGGTGTTGGAAGCCTGTCCTTGTGTCTAGACATGAAGGGAGTGTCCTCCCCATTTGGCTGTTGCTGGAACCACGTTTCTGCCTTTTTCAGAATATGGCAGAGAAGTTTCTGGATGGAGAACTTCCTCTGGATTCCTTCATTGACGTCTATCAGAGCAAACGGAAATTGGCCCACATGCGACGGGTGAAAATTGAGAAGCTCCAGGAGATGGTGCTGAAGGGGCAGAGACTCCCGCAGGCTTTGGCCCCGCTGCCGCCCAGGCTGCCCGAGCAGGCATCTACTGCCCCCCTTCCCTACCCTGCCCCAGAGGCCAGTGGGCCCCCCGCTGTTGCGCCTCGGCGCATCCCCCCACCACCACCCTCGGTGTCTGCAGTTCGCCTAGCCACCCCGTTCACTGCGGCCATGGCCTCGGGACAGGCTGTGCCATACCCAGGATTACAGTGTCCACCCCTGCCTCCCCGTGTGGGGCTCCCCACTCAGCAAGGATTCTCTGCACAGTTCGTGTCCCCGTATCCACCAGCTCTCCCCCAGAGACCCCCGCCCCGGCTGCCTCCGCACCAGCCGGGCTTCATCCTCCAGTGAGCACCAGCGCCGTCCTTCCGGGGAAACTCCCTCCACCTGCTGTGTTGCGCTCTGCAGACGGGAGGGAGGCTGGAGGTCTGCTCTGTGCCAAGGGCTTCAGGGCCCTGGGCCAGCGTGTCCACCTGGTTTTAGAACTGTAGGTCAGTGGTGAGTAGTAGAAGCCCAGGTTTTGGGCACCGAGGCAGTTGTGTGTGCCGGGTCGCCGCCTGACACCCGCGCGTCGAATCGGTTTGCATTCTCCGTGTGTTGTCTACGTATCTTAGCGTTGACGAACTCGTATTTGGGAAGAAACAAAGCCTCTTCCCCCGTTCCCTTTTAGAATCGTGGTCCTCCCGTTGCAGCTTTATTTAATGAGCATGGTTCATGATACTTATTTTATTTTCAAAACAGTCGTGTGTGTCTCACCCAGTGGCCGCTGCAGCCCTGGTGAGGGTGGGTGGGTGCCAGCCAGCCTGGAAGAGTGCTGTGGCCAGGCTGCTACCTGCAGCTGCACTGTTGCTCACTGAATGTTGGGGAGAGGTCATCACAGTCACCGCCTGACCTGGCTGCTGCTCTTGCTTCAGAGCCACAAGCAAAGTTTGCACTGGACCCACTGCCAAGTCCAGAGGCTGGAGAATGGCCACCGGTGTGGGAGGGGACCGCACGAGCGGGACTTTGTATAGCAAATCTTGTCCCCAGCTGCTTCTCTTCCCTCCTGCCTCGAGCCGGCCCTGAAGGTTTCTATGAAGAAAATAATCCCCCAATATTTTTACTACATGTGTGATTTTCCTGTTTTATATTGACAAAACTTTTTTGACACTCCCAAGACCATTCAGGGAAATTTTTTTTAAAATGCAAATATTGTCTTGAGCAGATTGAAATGCAGATGAAGCGGATGCGATTTCCTACCCTCGGGTGTCCGTGCTGTGCCTTAGTTCCCCAGGTGCCAGGACTCACACCTGCTAGGGGCTGGGCGGGGCCCCCAGCGGCTCTGCTTTCTCTGAAGGGCTTGTCCAAGTTCATTGCCCTGTTACATGTAGTCAAGACGTCTGACTGCCTTGACTCAGGCTACCCTTAGCCAGTATCTTCTGCCCCTGGCTGGCTAGTAGCTGGGCCTCAGGGCGGGTGGTGGTAGGGATTTGGAGAAAGCCCACCAGTGGGATTGAGGGGCGGGGCTGTGCTCCAACCACCTGAACCTGCTCTTCTCTCCACCCCCGTGGAACCTCATCTTTACGTGCCACGTGTGCTGAAGGCCTAGAGCCCAGCAGGGGGCAGCGGCATCTGTTGACAGAAAAGGCCCAGGTGCTTACCCGTGGACCTTCTGGGTTGCCCCTCCCCTGTCACTTGTCAGGCATCTAGGGTCCTGACCTGTGTCTAGCCACCAGGGTGACAAGGCAGAACTGAAGCGGGGTCTGTCCCAGTGGGCCACGGGCCAGGCCACTGCCTTTTGTCCTCAATGACTGTACATTCCTGCTCTCGGACTTGAACTCTACTGTAACCGTTTTCTTAAAGGAAATGAAGTTGTACAGGATGATTCACTGCCACGCCAGTCAGGCAGGCTTGCCATGTTCTGTGAATCTCCAGTGAGCGGTGCCACCCGCCCCCATACCTCCGCCACCAGCCGCTGTCAGGGATGCCACAGCCCAGCCACGGTCGCAGCCAAATGCGTTGCGAAGGGGCCCCTGGCTGGGCTTGCCGTCGCTGTTCAGGGCCGTGTCCGGTGCTGTGGCTGTAAAGCTGTAGGACCCTTTTTAATAAATAGAGAATTATTAATAACAGGCCTGTCATTTATTGGGGATGTGGATGTTCCTGATGTGTGGTTCTGAAGCATCAGTGATCAGACTTTCAGCAGGGAAGCTGGCTGGGATGTCTGTGTGTGAAGCTGAGAACAAAATGTCTGCCTGTCTGGGATCCCTGGCTCAAAGCTGGGGCCTCTTACCCTCTTGGTTTGTCACCAGAGTCTCATAAACATCAGTGATGGACAGAAAGCATGTCCTGTGCGTAAGAGAGCATGTCTTCAGGATCACAGCCACTGTCCAAGCAGGGGACTGAAGGTGACCTCAGGGCTCAGGCTGTGCCTGCACTTTGTCCTTGAGGTTGCCACGATGTGCTGTGTGAATGGTGTGAGCTCATTAGGGTGTTCTGTGGTGGGTTTTAGTGAGGAAACCAGCAGCTCTGACATTTTGCTTTGGGGGCCTGCCAGCAGGTGTTTTAAGAAGGCAGTTGCCTCTGCCCACTCCGAAGCCCAGTGGGTGCTGCTGCCTTCTCTAGGCTGAGAGGTGGGGATCCTGCCAGCCCGGCCTCCTTGGAGAGCTACACAACTGTACCCTGTGCTCTCCGTCCCGGCTGAACTGTGTGCCTGTGTCTGTGTCCACCATGTGCCCCCGGCCCCAGCTGGGCTATGTGCCCGCCGCCCTGGCCGAGGTGCCTGCGTCCCTGAGTACCCCCTGCTGAGCTGCATGTCTGTGTCCCTCTGTGCCCACCGCCCCGGCTGTGTGCCTGTGTCGCTGTGTGCTCACGCCCATGTGCCTGCCAACCTGGCCAAGCTGCATGCCTGCGTCTGTGTGTGCCTGCGTCTTCACCACCGTAGCTGAGCTGTGTATCTGGGTCATGATGCCCCTGTGAGGGACTTCAGGAACTGAGATGAGTGCAACCTCCCGTTGCTGTCTCTCAAAGCTGCCATTCCTGGCATATCATTGTCTATGGGGATGATGGGGATGTACAGCAGAAATTCCTATGATTTTCCTGTGAGGAAGAGGGAAGCATTCCCTGAGAAACCTGTTTACCTTAAAGTGATAGTTTCTCTTTTCCTGGTGGCTGCCAGGAAGCTTACAGCCAAATCTGTTGTCCACTCGAGTGAGGATGCTGGACTTCAGAGTTTTGTGGCTCATGAACCTTGCTTGTGGGAGCCTTTCCTCCAGCTGTGTGGCCCGTTCACAAGGATGACCAGGGGCAGTGGCGGGTCCAAGAGGGCAGGAGAGCAAGACCAGACCCCAGGCTCCTGCTTTCTAGCCCGGCATGTGTGAGGCGGTCTCTCCAGTTAAAGGATTCAGCTGGGCACAGTGACCTGTAATCCCAACACTTGGTGGATCACTTGAGGTCAGGAGTTCAAGACCAGCCTGGCCAACATGGCAAAACCGTATTTCTACTAAAAATACAAAACAAAAAACAACAAAAAATTAGCCAGGGGTAGTGGCACACGCCTGTAAGCCCAGCTATTTGGGAGGCTGAGGGAGAATCGCTTGAACCTGGGAAGAGGTTGCAGTGAGTCAGCGCCACTGCACTCCCAGCTGGGCAACAAAGCAAGACTGTCTCCAAAAAAAAAGTTTGGTCATTGAGGACTCAAGAATGATAGTCAAGTGTCATCAGTGCCTGTGGACTTTCACTGGTCTGTATCTGGGGGAGAATCAGTTCTTTCTGTTTTCTGAAGCCATCTCACTATGTAAACAAGACCAAGGAACAGGGTCCGTCTCGGCCCTTATGGTCAGTTTGCAAAGCCCTTTCACACATGTGGTCCTAGCCACCTGGCACACCACCCCTGGCTACACAGCCCCAGCCAAAAGGCCCCACTTCATCCTCCAGGAGATCTGGGCACAGGTGGGAGGCTCGTCTGAGGCCATACAGGAGCCAGCCAAGGGGCCTTTTCTCCCCCGCCGACCTTCCCTGGCCTGTTTCTCCATAAATGCCAGTTATCTTGGCAGGAGGTAGGACAGGGTGAGCCCACCCACTTCAGCCTTCCCTCTGGCATGTGCTACTGCAGAAAGTGGGTGATTGAGTGAGGCTGCCGCACACCCAAGGACTAAACGCCCTTACAGTTTTCTGGTAAGTGGAAAGGCTATGTGTGGTCATGGCTCAAGTCCCGGCCAGCTGGGAGTCAGGGTCCCCACCTTAACTTAAGAACTGTCAACTAAGGCATGGTCTCAGACACGCGGAGGGGGTCAGCAACTGCTGGGAGCCCCAGGGAGGCTGTGGGCATCGAGGCTGGGAGTGGAGGTGGCCTCTGTGGAGGCAGCTAGCTCTTGACCTCCTGTGTAAAAAGGAGGGCCTCCAGGCCATAAATCTCCCAGAGATGGAAGGCTGCCACGCACAGCCAGTGACAGCCATGCTGAGTCTTTCTGCAGTCCCGAGTGCTCTAGGATTAAATGCAGACACAATGGAGTCCCCAGTCCAGCACCTGACCAGGGCCTGACAAGGAGACACATGTCCCCGGAGGACTGAAGAGCCAGGCACAGCCCCTCCCTCTGGGGCATCAGTGACACAGTCCAAGTGCATTTTATTGCCAACAGAACACTTCCAACAGGAGGAAAGGCTAACACAAAGCCAAGGGCCGAGTCCTTCTGGCTCATTTTTGTTCCTCCTGACCTTGGCCAGTATTTGGTAGCCTTTCCAGAGCACAGGGCGAACGGCTAAAGGGCTGGGGGGCAGGAGGGTATGGCAGCTGCTGGTCTGTCCTCCCAGCTTGGTCCCACCCCTCCTGCCACTCCCCTCGGGCTCAAGGGACACACATTTGTTCAAATCCAGTGGGCAGGCAAAGCTCACTCTAGCTGCTGGGTCCCCTCCCTGAGGGCCCTGGTCCAGCAGCTGGGTTTCTGGCTGAGCTGGAGGACCTAGGGCCAAGGTCCCACTCTGAAGGGCTGGAAACCACCCCCCCCCAGGTGGGCAGTGGGGCACAGCCAGAACGGGGGAATGGAAAACAGGAAATGGGGGTGGCTGCAAATTCCAGCAGGAAATGGAACTCCAGGAGCTAAGGCAGGGCTGGGCCACTGTCTCACCTCGCTCCCCAGAAAGCGGCCACTTCCAGCATCTGACCACCTCTTGGGGGCTCCCACCACAGAGGTGTGAGGGCCAGGCCTGGGGAGTAATGGGTGACATTCCTCCAGCCCACCCAGAGCCTGGTCTGCGGAGGCCTTGCAGCTGGAGGGCCTGGTGGAATCAGTGCCCAAGAAGGCCACAGGCAGGATGGTGGGCCCCAGTCCTGTCAGCCAGCACGGGCTGTGCACCTTCCGTCCATCCACGACCTCAGGCTCTTAGTCCAGAAGGCAGGGAGCCCCGCGCTGGCCCCGTTTCCCAGTGTGCTGACTAGAAACGTAGGAAAAAGAGCTCTAGCTCAGAATATTAAAAACGCTCTCTATATTTCCTGAAGAGTTGAGGCTCAGGCCCACTGGGTCCTGGTTGTACCCCAGAGTTCCTTCTGCAGATGATAGAGAGGTCCAGAAGCACCACCACATGGCTCAGGCCCCTGCAAGCTCAGTAAGGGCCAGGGGCCTTGAGGACGCTGATCTGGGCAGTGGGGTGGGAGGCTTGGGCCCCGGGTGGAGGGCAAGGCCCCTCGGTTCTGTCAGGGCAGCTGCAGAGGCCCAGGCCTATCTACCAGCCACCCTGCTGAACCCCTGAGGGGCCTAGTAGTTCATGAGTTGAGCTGAGTAGATACCATCCTTTTTGTCAAGCTGCAGGAGTCAGAGGTGACGGGCTCAGTGGTGATGGCCAGGCTCCCGGGGCCCCACCTCTCCCTTGAGCAAGCCCCTCCCTGCATGCCGTGTCACTAGGGCTTATCAGTGGTTCCTGACTTCTCCAGGGATGTGCACCATGTGCCCCTTTGGGGCCAGGGATGACACTCCCCTCCAGGAACTGCCCCAACCCCAGTGCTCACAGCACCTGGTGGTCCTGTCTGGGGGCCACGCTGGGCTTCTGGGCCAGGGGCGGTTTCTTGGTGGCTACACTTCGGGGGGCAGTGCTGGGCCGGCTGGCCGCCTCCTCTCCAGGGCTGCCCGCTGCCCCAGCCAGCACGTAGTGTTGCTTCCGTAGCTCCCCCAGCCGCATGCGTTCAGCGTCCAGCGTCTTCTCCAGCTCCAGGACGCGCACCTGTAGCCACATGGCCTGCTCAGCCCAGCCCAGTGCAGCCTCCCCACGGAGCCCTCTCCCGGTCCAGGCTTCACCCAAGGGATGAACTCACAGGTCGTGGGACAGCTGTGGGGACCTACCTGGGTCTCCATCTCCTGCTTCTTCAGCTTGATGAGGGACAGGCCAGAGAAGTCCATGGTGTCTGTGGCCAGAGGGCAAGTAGGTGAACATCTGGGCATCCAGCCTCAGGAACTGAGCTGCTCCCCTCGGCTCCTGACACTCACCTCTGTCCTCAATCTGCTCCTGGCCTGACTTGGTGGAGGCCACCACGTTGGCAGCCCTCTCGTTGACCATGCGGGAGCATTCCTGCAGGCGGCTCAGGTGGGGACTGTTCTTGTCAGCCTTCACCTGAGGGGTGAGGGGACAGGTTGGGCCCAGGTCTCCCAGCTCAGGGCAGCAGCAGCCCTGAGCGTGCAGTTAAGGAGCCCCAGGCCAAGCCGAGCCCAGAGCCCAGTGTGTCACTGTTGGTGCACAGGCTCACCTTGGAGGCTGCCACCAGTTGGGCCGTGCTGGCCGCGATCTCATGGGAGCAGACGATGAGCTCCTCATACTTGCCAGTGTGAAGTACCACCTTGTCAGCCGCCTCCCTGAGGGGTGAGGGCCAGTGAGGGCCAGGGTCTCTGACCCCATGGACAGCTGGAGCCACCCCACACCCCCTCTATTCCCAGCACACTGCTGAACCAAAAACTGGTCCCATTGACAGAAAGCAGCCCCCTGCCCGCGCCCCCCACCCCCCGGGGCAACCTACACCAGCTGTGTGGCTCCCCAGCCCACAGCCTTGGAGGCCGAGATGAGGCCTTCAGTCCAGCGAGAATTCTTGGCGTAAAATTCCTGTTGCGTGGCTGCCCCCTAGTGGCGACAAGAGAACAGGGCAC